TTAATCGTATCTCATAATCAAAATGTCTCGATTTTCCACTTATTTCTTTGTATTCATGAGCCGGGTTGCCTGTCTCTTTGTTTTGTTTCGTTCTGCTATGTTGTTGTTGTTGTTTTTGTTCTTTTTTCGTTGCTGTTGTTGTTTTGGTTATTTGTTTGTTTGTTTTTAATTTTGGTATCAGTGTAAAGTTTAAAACTCAATAAACACACAGTTAAAAAAAAAAATTCTAATTGGATTCTCTTATTTTACTTAATGTTCTATTTCAGCTTCTTTGGCAGCACAGTCCTTTTGTTCCTGACTTGTATGCAACAGAATCATGCCACTCAGAGAGTAGAATTTTATTTTATTTTTTTATTGGGTTGTATGCAATTTGTGGGAAAAAGGACACTCAAGTCTATAGTGAGCAATAGTTTTTGAAACATCTGAGTAAACAGATGTTATGTCTTAATAAAAGCTGTACTATAACATTTGGCAGAATGTTCAGAAGTCACTTTTTTAAAATGACTGTGAGCTAATGATGTGGGGCTAACGACACTTTAAATGATCTATTGATGGAAAAACAAACTCTAAAGACCTACATTCCTCTGCTTTTGCTTCCTATTATTGAATCCTGTTGGGAGTTTTTGGAAAAACAGCTTACTGTAAATAGAACACGCGCCTCCACAGCTACTTAGTCATCACTGACCTCCTAAGTGTCAACAGTCATGAACCTGCCAGCAATTGGGACACAGTCACTCCCAGAGCCCTGTCACTCCCGGGGCGTAGAGATCCATCACTGCAGCCGGATGTTGCTGCAGTGGGGAGAGCGTGAGACCGCTGCTGTATACATCCAAGCACCCAAGAGCCCTGACTTCTTGGCTTTGCTGGCGGGACAGCAGACTTCTCACCCGGGAATGGGGGAGGAGGAGGAGGAGGAGTAGGAGATGAGTTCACCACCATATCCCCATCTCCTCTGCTCATTATCATCGACACACACCCTTCACCTCCACCCCTCCCTCTCCCCCTTTTCTGAGGTGTCTGGTGACTCTGGCCCGTGTTATATTGCTCCTCCCTTCATCGTGGAGGAGAGAAAAAGAGGCTGCAGCCCACTACTACCATGTCCCAAGGGCCCCTTTGCTTGCTTTGCCTGCCTGCCCCTCCTGCTGCTCAGTACAGCTGTGGCTCAGTACCAGACCCTGACCAGCTGGGATCTCAACCCTTCCAGAGTCAAGAGGAGGATTGTGTGAAAGCTCTTCAACACTCTTATTCACTCTGCATTAGCTGAATTACACTGACTCTAACTACAACTGCCAAGGCTGCTGGTGGAGCTGAGGAAATCCTTTTTTTGAGATGGCTATGGCACCTCGGGCCCTGGCACTTCTGCTGCCCCTGGTGCTCATCCTGCTGAGCCCGGCACCGACTCCCACCCTGGGCGGATGCCCATCGGCTTGCCGGTGCTC